CAGCATTATTTGGAGCATTATATGGCCTTTTGTGGAACATTACTGAGAGCATTATATCCCATATTACCGAGCATTATCCGCCAACACCTAGTCTTCGTGCTCTACGCAAGTACTGGCGGGGTATCAGCAACCTGGGTCCGGTGTATGGGTACTTGCCCAACCCCACGAAGACGGTGCTCGTTGTGAAGCCGGAAGTCGAGGTGGAGGCCCGGGATCTTTTCCGGGATACCGGCGTCTCTATTCGGACGGACGGCGCTCATTGCCTGGGTGGTGCCTTTGGCACAGTCGAGTTCCGTCGTGAGTTTCTGGATCAGCGGGTTCAGGGACTTACAGCCCAGATGAATCACTGTGGAGAGTACGCCACTACCCAGCCTCATGCCAGCTACGCCGTTGCCGTAAGATCCCTGGTGCCAAGGTGGAAATTCATATCACGGGCCATGGAATGCGGTCCGGGGGTGTTGGCACCCATTGACAGCAGTGTGACTGACAAGTTGTTACCTGCTGTCACCGGTCATCACTTCTTGGACGACTCCCCGCTGCGGCGTTTACTGTCTCTGCCCTGTCGACGTGGTGGAATTGGGTTGCCAATTGCCTCGGTTGTTGCAGAGCATGAGCACCAGCGTGCCCTGCGTGCGACTGAGCCCATGCGGGATCTACTCCATCGCTCTCGCACTGAGCCTCAGAATATTGGAGCATCTCGAGATCCTCGGCCTGGGGATGACCATCCCATCCTCGCGGCCCTTGCCCTCGCACGGACTCGTGCTGTTGCCATGCGGCGGGAGAGGGACCGCCAAGCATCGGATCTGGCTGCTGCCGTTTCTCGTGAGCTATCGCCCCCGCAGCAGTTGTTGATCGAGATTGCGGGTGAGCCCGGCATATCGTCATGGCTGACGGCGGACCCGATGTCCCGGTACACACCGTGCTGAATTGCAATGACTTCAGACACGCCCTCTGTATCCGTTATGACCTGGATCTCAGGGACACCGCGACAACCTGTGTGTGTGGTCAGCCTGCCGTGCGGGATCACATGTTTGTATGCCCGACCGGCGGCTATCCTGGTGCGCGGCACGACAATATCCGTGATCTGCTCGCGGAGGTGTTGGTTGATGTCGCCCAGGACGTTGAAAAGGAGCCTAGGCTGGCGGCCATGCATGGGGAGGATCTACCCGGACGCCAGCTGAATCGCCAGGACGAGGCCCGAGCGGACATCCGAGCCAGGGGCTTCTGGACAAGGCAGCAGGACGCCTATTTTGATGTTAGGGTAACCCACCCTAAGGCCTCGGTCACACTACGGCAGTTTGAAGCTGGACGCAGCGTCAAGCCGCAGCACTTGACGGAGACGCGGGGTCACACAGTGTTTGGGTTTTTTTGCAGCTCATGACTGCCGCGGCTTGACGCATTTGGCTACGTCACAAAACCACCAGGAAAACTCAATGACGACACGGATTCCCACGGAAACCGGCCTTTTGCTTATTATACAAAAAAATTGTCGGACAAAGTTTTCGAATTTTTCATTGATTTTTGATTACAAGAAGACGAAAGGTAGGTCCACGCGTGCACGATCGTTGTTGTTTCTTTCCGAATTTGAAGCCATTTTCAGTTGTAGTGTCATTGATCAGGCAAGAAAAGTCCGCATCGCAGCTGTGTTTCTCCTGACTTCGTCATACTGGTTGTCCTTTTTGGGGCTCTTGACGACAACACAACACTCACAAGTCGACAGGCTCCAGTTGGCCGATGACCCACTCAAACAACTGGTCCTTTCTCGACATCATTTTCTTCTCAGAAAACGCCTCGCTCTTCCGCCAGGCTCGGAGCAGAGCAGCCTCGGCCTCGTAGGTCCACGGACTCATCTCGAACAAAAAGAGGGAACAAAACAAACCTTGAACAGACGAATGTCGAATAACTGCTAAACTCAAGCAAAGTGTCTTGAAACTAATTTTACTTGAAAGACACTGTTTTTCCGCCAAGCGTCACTCCCATCAGCGGCAACGCAGCCGATTTCCCCACGTCAGACGCAGCAGCGTCTGACGCTCAAATTTCCCGCGTTGCGTCAGTTGCCATGGAAAAGCTCTACCAAAAGCTAAAACTCGTTTCGGTCTCTTTTCAGTTTCTTTCATCGGTTCCGACCGTTGGAATGCACTCCCCGCTGCAGTCCGCTTATGCTCTTCACTGCACCTATTCCGTAATTCAGTACTTTCATTTCTAGGGTACCCTGTAAGAAGGCCTTAGGCCTGTGGGGATTGCCCTATCAAAAATTTGATAATAATAATAATAATAATAATAAAAGCTCATGATTCTGACGCTGACGCAGCATTTTTGCCGTAGTGTGACCGAGGCCTAAGGCGTCTGTGCTGTCTCGTTCAGAAGTCCTTGGCCAGCTCAGGTCTCACGAGCGGCGTAAGAAGGCCGAGTATGGGCCACGGATCGTCAACATCGAGTGTGCGTCATTTACGCCGCTTGTGTTTACGACGCAGGGCCTGGCGGCACCGGAGTGCGCGAAATTTCTATCGACGCTGGCGACATACCTGTCCAGGCGTCACACCGATATCCCGTACTCCATCCTCATCAACCGGTTGCGGGTACGCATTTCATTTTGCTTACTTCGCGAATTCGGTGGGCCGTCACCTGTTTCCGCGGGTGCCGGGCCTCGTATCAGCGGCGTCGCCAGTCGTCTTTCCTGGTGGAGTGCCGGCAGATGGGTGGCCGATGAGCTGTTGCCATGGCGAGGGGGCTGCTGAGACGCAGGCTTGGCACCGCGTACCGGGTACGCGCGGGTGGACTCGCTGCCGATGGTACGGTGTAGGATGTATGTACAATGTAGGTACTTCACTCTGTTGTCATTTGTCTGTCTATTTGTTGAATTGGATAGGTGTACGGACAGTTCTCCACAATGCATGCACATCCATTCATAACATTCATGACAGGTAATTTATATTGACATTGGCTTAGACTTGCATACATGACGGGACCTGTTACTTTAATTTTCACTTTGAGTTTAAAGTTTTCTTCTTTTGACATTGGATTTGACATTGGATTTGACATTGGATTTGACATTGGATTTACTAATTGATTTGACGTTATTTAAAGGAGTTTTTTTTAATTGAATTGATCTTCAATGATTTACGATTTCACGTTTCCGCTATTTTGCCCGTAAAAGAGGCTTGTCACCAGTAGTAGTAGTAGTAGTAGTAGTAGTAGTAGTAGTAGTAGTAGTAGTAGTAGAATTTATTATTTTGATAGGGAAGGCCCTACAGACGTTGCCGTCTTGCGGCGGTTACAGGGAACCCTAAGTGCTCTTTACAGAGCGAAACAAAAACGGATAGATGCTCAACCTGACATTGGTTGAGGCATCAGGTGAAGCTTTTCAACCTGACAATGTTGTAACTGCCTTTCTCTACCTGCTCCCAGACTCCCAGTCCCGTGCCATCTCCACACTTATACAATGGGACAAGGATAACTACATTTAGAAGACGTAGTCAAGCATGCGATCACATGATCACAGTTTCCGAGTGCTCGACGGGCCTTGGCACGCCGTTTTTGGGGGGGGGGGGGGGGGCGCTGGTGAAGCTTGTACCGCGTACACGATGCTGTAAAAAGTGGGTTTTTGAACTTTACTTCATGTTTTGCCTTTCGTGGACCCATAAATGAAAGAGTGCGTATTCATTTCTCAGCTTGGCCAATTGGGTTCATATCTGAACATGTGTCATGGCTATGCTTCACTGAAAAAGGGCACTTTTTGCCTGTTTTCACTGAAAAAAGAGCACTTTTTCAGCCTATTTTGAGGGAGGCGAAAAGCACTAAGTGCGAATTAAAAGAGCACCTTTGGGAAATGGCTATCCCCCGGACCCCCGGTAATTTCCATCTGTTTTGTTTTGTTTTATTTATTTATTTTATTCCAAGCAATACATGGCTGGGGTAGCCAATGACCACTTTGCGTGGCGATTGCAGGGTTTTTATAGCCAACCATGCCGCTAAACATGGAAAAGAGTAAGAAGTCAAAAAGAAAAGGAAAAGAAGAAAGAAGCAAACGGATTCTCCAGAGATTCTCCAGAGGTACATGTAAATGGATACCAATTTGAAATCAAAGAGAACAGAAGGAAAGGTGTAGATAATGTGGTGAAAATAGCATAATGAAAGGATCTGTAATCGCCATTTTATAGCTTTCCAGCCTGCACGCTGGTTACGATTTTCTTTTGGATTCAACCAATCTGGCTTCCTCCCTAATTTGGCGGCAAGATATCTCATCTACACTGTAGCTACAGTGCATTTCAAAACTATAGACGCGTAGGGTTTTTGAAATATTTCAAATTTGGCTGGAACTTTTTGAGAATAGTTTTCGGAATATTGCTCAGGATCGCTCCACAATTACTCTCATATAGTTTCTAAAGGATTGGATAACAGACGCCCAATTTGGAAAAAATTATGCACAAAGTGATCACAGATTTTATGTGGTATAGATGCTGGCATAATCGTTTTTGCCTAGGTACGCGTCTATTTTTGAAATGGACTGTAGCTGTTTGTGGCTAGTATCAGTTCTATCACACTTCTCAATCGTCCTCGCGTGCACGCCATTGTGGAATAAAAGAATAATAAAACGAGATGCAAGACTCACCTCGAATCGTAGTAGCAGCTGTGGCACGCTGTAGTCAGTCACAGCGCGCTAGCGGCCGGGAAAGCCGGGGGGGGGGGGGCGCCAGCCTAGCCGGCGGCACGACTCATACGTGGTGCGATTTGCGAGATGGACCGGGCGCGCGGTACGCGTATACGGTAGTTCCGTACATAAAAATAAAAAATAAAAAAGTTCTGTACATGCACACACGTACACGCGCGCACGTACGGTACGTGCACCATTTGCACATGCATTGTGCACGTGAAAATTTCAAACATTTTCAAAAACCTTGAATTATGAAGCCGGCTAGCTAGCTAGCTGTGCACATGTGACGTACATGCAGACTGCGGCATACGCGCATGCATGACATAATTGCACAGTCATAAAATTCCTTTCAGCTGACACGAAGTCGAAGATCCTAGGACAAAGAAACCACTTCAAAAGGAGCATCAGCCCGTTGATTGAGCACATCTCTAGCATTAGTTGCTCATTCACGCATAGGTTTCCGCAATTGCCAACTGGAAGTTGCTTTTATCTGTTTGAAACCTCCTGTCCGGGGATCTGACTTCCAAACAGATTTGCAAGAGTACGAAGACAGTGCACCCCTGTCCTTGTTGAATTACCTGTACGTTGGACGTAAAAGCAAAGGCAAAAATGAGCGAAACCGAGGCTAAGAAGGGCACGGTGGTCCTGGCATACAGCGGTGGCTTGGACACCAGCTGTATCTTGGTGTGGCTGATGGAACAAGGGTATGACGTTATATGCTTTACGGTGAGAATCCTTGAGACAACTCCTAGGATCCTATCCGAAATTTTAGTTTATTTTGGGTGTCTAGATTTCGAATACTAGTAATCCACCACACGTGTTGTATCGGTTTGTACAGTACGACATACATTTCAAAGGAGTGCATTCTGCGTTCACATAACACAAGCACATCTGGTGTGCTTAGGAGTGTTTCAAAGTGTAACACTCCGTGTGTGTGTGTGTGTGTGTGTGTGTGTGTGTGTGTGTGTGTGTGGTGTGTGTGTGTGTGTGTGTGTGTGTGTGTGTGTGCACACGCGCTTGCATGCATGAATGTGTGTGCACGCGCTCGTGCGCCCGGTGCGCGCGCGTGTGTGTGTGTGTGTGCGTGTGTATGTTTAAGCGACCACCCCACGGTGCAAACAAAAGCGGCCGTTAAAGCCAAGTGGTTTTTAGAACCAGGTCCCATACATTCGTGGCACATCGGATCATGTACGTACATGTGCATAATTGCACGTCCATGTACTCGTCTTGACAGGCGTGGAGCATAGAATATTTTCATGCAAGCAAAGACTACACCTCACTCAAGTGCATGCAGAGCATCCTGCATGGTCACTTCTGTTGACTGCATGCAGTTGCTTAAAAGTCCTCCAGAGCATACTTCAACCCTGTTACAGTCAGCTCTGCCAGCCAAGATGGCACTTTTGGCTAGTTTTGGTTGCTGTGTGCAGGTCCAATATGACACTTGGTACACTAAAAGTCGGTCGCTGTTCGCGCAAGGCAGGTGGTCGTTGTATCCGGTCCAGTTTCTGTGTAGAACTGTCCGTGCATGGAAAATCGGTCGTCAAAAGCAGGTGGTCGCTAAAACCAGGTTTTATTGTATGTGTGGGCATGTGTGGGTGGGTGTGGGTATGTGTATATGAGTTGTTGTGTGTGAGTGTGGTTGTGTGCATGCATGTGCGTGTGTGTGTGTGTGTGTGTGTGTGTGTATGTGTGCGTATTTTTCGTGTGTTTATTTGAGTGTGCGTGTGTGTCTGTGTACATGTATCTGCTTGTGCGCATGTCTGTGTGTTTCTACGACGACAGGCTGACGTTGGCCAAGGGGATGACCTGGAGGAAGCCAAAGAGAAGGCTGCTAAGCTAGGCGCTAAGAAGGTAACACTCACTGCATTGTTTCATTCTCAAAGAAGTCCGATCGAGTGAATCAGCTTTGCGCCATGCGCCAGTGAGCATCGCAGTGTTCGCAGGTCTAGAGTTGCGCAGCATCGGGCACATACCGGTACTTGACTCACGTGATTGGATTTCATTGCCTGCACAGTAAAACAGTTTAATGTCAACTACCTGGATATAACATACAATGAACCACATGGATAAGGACCTCGGAAGTGTCGTTATTCACGAGTTGTTGTCCATGAGGTCGGAACCTTTGAGCTGCATAATTTGAATATTAATTTCAAGTGCCAGCCCCACGAATAACAACTCGTGAAATAACGACAATTTTCTAGTGCACGATCGAAGGTCGTTATTCGCAAGGTTGACTGTTAGTGCCATCAGCGTATGTGCTTGGAGTCTGCATTGAGTGGCGAGCTGGGGTATGTTTGCCACTCGATACGAGACTGCTCTGATAACGTCGCTACCCGTGGGCCAGGGCATACATGTAGCTTCAGTTGTATGCTTATCGTCATGACATTTTATTATTTCCCATATAAACTTACTGAATACTGAGCGCTTTGGCCGAGTGGTTGTGGGCTTGCCTGCGAATCACAAGGTCCCCGGGTTTGAGTCCCGCGCTGGGAGCAGAGAGCGTGTACTGTGCTAGCAAATGCGGTGATGCATGCGTGAACCACTTTACATGCAGTGAACTGCGCCGACACCCACGGTCAACTGGGTAATCACTACTCGGAGTGAGGGTAGCATGGATGCAGCTAACCAGGCTCGCCCCCCCCCCCCCCCCCCCCCCCTTGTCGGGCATTCAACACCCACGGTCAACTGGGTAATCACTACTCGGAGTAAGGGTAACATGGATGCAGCTAACCAGGTTAGCCCCCTTGTCGGGCATTGGTCGTGAGACTTACCACCTCACCCTCGCCGTTAGGAGCTTCATCTGCCACCCTAGTATAACAGGCGTGGCGGTGGCCTGGCACATGCGAAACTTCCTAAGCTGGTTGTGTTTCTCAATGCAATGGTATAGCCGGTGGTAACGCAGACGTGCGAACTTTTTTTTACTTACTGTTTTTACTTGGTCATACCGGTATTAATCTTCCATACCATTTAATTTTTCCATCCCAGGCTAGGAACTGTGGCATCATTCACGATCCACAGCAAGAAGGCAGCAATGCCTGTACCTATGGTGAAGTAAAATAAAGAAGATAACGTAACATTGCCACAACTCCGTGATGAAATTTTGTGCTTTGTGCAGACATACATTGAGGACATGCGAAGTGAGTTTGTGACGGAGTTCGTCTGGCCAGCCATTCAAGCGAATGCGCTGTATGAAGACCGCTATCAGATGGGCACAGGTATGCGAGCTTAGACTCAGTTTTTCATTCTCCTTTGAATATTTCTTTCTGCCATGGTTGGCTCTCACTCATCATCTCACGTGATTAATTGGCCGTCTTTTGACGTGCCAGGAGATGTCTAAATAAGTACTGTAGTAAAATAAATTAATGTGGTTGAAGCTCGGTTCTGGGTACCGTATTTTCCGGTTGTAAGTCGACCTTTTACGACTTTAACTTAAACTAGAAGGAGAAAGGGTGGGGGTCGACTTACAACCGGGAACTATCAGTATCTTACAAAAATGGCCTGCACTGCATGCACGAGTGCACCATGTTTACACATTTTTGCCAGTTTATTGGCCTTTTTCAAGGATTGGGACGTTTTACCCTCCAATAAGGAATGTTCACATGATTTGTTGATGTGTTAGTAGCAGGAGGTGGTTAGTAGTGGTTCTTTGGGTGACAAGTTTAAAACGCAGAATTGAGACCTCGGATATGGGGGTCGACCTATATAACTGGGGTCGACCTATAACTGGGGTCGACTTACAACCGGTAAAATACGGTATGTTCATCAAAGATATGCAGCAAACCTGCCACAGATCCCATGACGTCGTCACACCAGTGTCACAAAGACCCGGTCATCATCGGTCACATGCTTGGCGGACCAGACCCCATGACGTCATCAGATCAATGTCGCGGGCATGTCGTCGGCAAGTTTTGAACCACTGGGGTTGCCATGTCGACATTTCTCTGTCCTCAAGAGTACAAGAAACCCAGAGTGTGCAGCTCTGATGGGTTCCTGTCACGGCGAAATTCCGTGATTACATCATTTCAATGATGTAGTGCGTACAACCAGGATTCAAGCAGGTCTCTTTCTGCACAACTGCAGCTCCGCTGTACGCACGACGCCACTTCTCGCCTCGGATCTGAACCCAATATCAAATATGATGTAATCCGGGACATTTGCCGTGACAGACACCCATATGGCCATGCAGCAAAAGGTCAGAAGCTGCACACTCTTGGTTTCATGTACTCTTGCTCTCCTGTGTTCTTGTTCTATCTGGTGTTGTCCGTAGCGTTTGCACGTCCGTGCATAGCGCGTCGTCTTGCCACCATTGCCAAGCAAGAGGGCGCTCAATTCATCTCGCACGGTGCCACTGGAAAGGTAATGGGTTCTTTCTCTGCCTCATGTCTTGCTCTTTTCTCCATGTCTTTCTGCTTGTGTACTGTACCCCTCCCCCCTCCCCCACAGGGCCCACACACTCGAATGTGTCAGTCGCCATCCCATTTAGGGTCTCTGTCGTCATCATCTCATTGCGTACTAACCTGGAGTGATCCAATTACATGTAGAATGCGCACAATTGTACACAATCGTATTTTGTAAGGGGGAGTCTTCAGTGCGCAGCTGGAGTTTTGAGTCTGAAGTAGTCCATGGCACCTTCGACTCGTGTAATGTACGCTGTGAGGTTGGTCTTCTGCGTTCTTTGTACTCTTTACGTTCACCTCTTATCATATCAACCGTGTGCTTTGTGATTCAATCCATGTCTACGTGCAGGGCAATGATCAAATTCGTTTTGAACTAACCGTGTACGCAATGTACCCGGATGCCAAGGTAATGTGTGTTCTGAGCTGCACAAACATAGCTCACAAACCAAAACGTATTTCACTACCCTTTTACTGTGCTTAGCTGGCATCCAGTTCAGCCCTGTGTGTTTCACTGTAAAGTTAGTCTTTGCTTTGGCAAGTACCTAGATTGTTACAGGGTTGCATTGTGCCTTTTGACTTCTTATATAATTTATTTAGGCATTGATTGCCCAAGCTTCTTGTGACATTCGTGTGTGTGTGTGTGTGTGTGTGTGTGTGTGTGTGCGTGTGTGCGTGTGCGTACCTGTGTGTCTCTGTGTGTGTATGTGTGTGCATGTGTGTGCATGTGCGTACATGTGTGTGTGTGCGTGCGCGTGCGCGTGCGTGTGCACATGTGTGTGTGTATTTGCCGCTCATGCAGATGATTGCACCGTGGCGACTGCCGGAGTTCTTCAATCGTTTCCATGGTCGCCGCGATCTGTTTGAGTATGCAAAGGTCAGTACTCGAGTGTGTAGTGCAGTTTGTGTACTGTACAACATTAGTATAACATCTCTCCAGAGGACGCACACATCTGTACTTTATAGTTGTAGCCAATGTACGGTACAGTCGCATTCTGCTTATCCAACGGTCAGTCCTAATTGTGCTCTTCGTGCACTTCTCTCCATATGTGTATTGAAGTGCATGTAGCGATGAAGTTTGCAATTACAGTAATGTTTTCTCTGCCCGTGTGTGCTTGCAGCAAAAGGGAATTCCCCTTCCAGTGACGGTAGACAAGCCATGGAGCATGGATGCTAACCTCATGCATGTCAGGTCGGTTTTGGACAGTAGAATTTCTTTTGCTGCCAATGCATGTGTGCGTACTTTGTATGAAACCCTCCTACATGATAATTCTGCTTCTAAGCACCCATCATAGCTCGTGTTTGTTTGTGTTTTGCCTTGTTTTCCTGACCTGTCCTCTGCAGCTATGAAGCCGGTATCCTTGAAGACCCAATGGTAAGGGAGTAGTTTTGTTTGAGCAAAAGTCACTTCCCCGACATACAGTGAAACCTGTCTAAGACGACCGCTCAAGGGACCTTCAAAACGTGGTCTCTGTAGCCAGGTGGTCTCCTTTTACAGGGTCATTTGACTGGAAATAGCATCCCTCAGTCCTGGTCTCAGTGGTCTTCTAGGACAGGTGGGGTCACCTTATCCGAGTGGTCGCTGCCTTGACAGGTTTTACTGTACCTGTTTCATGTTGGAGTAGGAACACATTATACGGACCAAAGATTGCATCTAAGACTCGGATGGAGAGCCAAGGATTAAATTTAAAAAGAAAGAAAGGACCAAAATGTGTCATGTTAGTAACTGTAAGTGTTGGACACAAACTATGGATAACATTAACATGTAACATTTTGGTGCTTTCTTTTTAAAGATTGCATTACACCAAGAGTGCATGAAAACCAGAGTGTGCAGCTCGGATGGGTTGCTGTCACGGCGGAATTCCGTGATTACCTCATTTTAGTGATGTAGTGCGTATAAGCCGGATTCAAGCAGGTCTCTTTCTGCACAACTGCAGCTCAGTTGTACGCACTACGCCATTTCCCGCCTCGGATCTGCGCCAAATATGATGTAATCACGGAATTCCGCCGTGACAGACACCCATAGCAGAAAAGGCCCCAAGCTGCACACTCTGGTTTTCATGTACTCTTGACTACACGTACTTGGTGCCGATTGATGGTGTTTGTGCGCCTTGTAATGCAGAACTTCTTTTCCTTAGTGCATGTGTGTGGGGGGGGGGGGGGGGGGCTGGCTTCCAGCTATGTGTCGATACATCAGTACTTGTGTGTGCTGCGCAGTGCTTGTACATGAGCACTATGTATGTGCTCTAGCAGGCATATGCATGTATGGTAGTGTGTGTGGTAGTGTGTGTGGTAGTGTGTGTGTATATGAAATTATCTCTCTCTCTCTCTCTCTCTCTCTCTCTCTCTCTCTCTCTCTCTCTCTCTCTCTCTCTCTCTCTCTCTCTCCCTCTCTCTCTATTTCGGGTTTGTCTGCACAGCATCCTGCACCGAAAGACATTTACAAGATGACAACTGATCCGAAAGATGCACCAGCAGAGGTACAGCTCTCTTTTTGTTGTTTGTCCAATATCTGTAGCTAACTGGCAATGCACGGCTCACTCAGTCCTGAGTGCAAAGTTGCATGACTTGTCGCGAGGGTATGACTGACAGATACCCTATACACTATACTTTAGATGCACACAAGACATACAGGCGGACACTGGTGCTGCGATATTGCTCGGTGCACCACATGCGGAGCCGTTGACACTCTGTGACGCACGTCACATGCTGTCCCGCTTGGGAAAGCACGTGACTTATAGGGAGAGCATAACATTAAAAGTCTGTGAATTACTGCAACTGGATTGCACGTGGCAATTCACATTGTATTGAGCTCTTTAATCTCTTGTGTTATAGTTGGCTTCTCTTTGTTTCTGCTTTACTGTGTACCCAGCCGGAGGAGCTTGACATCGAGTTCAAAAATGGTACGTCTCTTGTTGTACAAGTTCACTCGTGCATTTCCTGAAGCGGGACACGTGTCGACCGTGGCACAGCCTGTACGGATGAATGCTGTGTCGTGGCGTGATGCACACATGGTCAAACTCAACACTGGCTAGTGTGCACGTTTACACATAGAAGTGTCTTTTGGCTTGAAAACAATTCTTTGCAAACATGCCGCGTATGTAGGGATTGTTCTTGCCAAACCGAGCTGTCAGCTCCTTTGTCCTGTCCAATAGGCGAGCTCCAGTGCGGGAGCAAACTCATTCCTAAAAAATCATCGCCGAAGTCGCAACCACTATTTCGTACTTTTGGCTTTGCGTATACAATAAAAAAAGATGAGAATCGCTAATATGACTGTCTATCTCCAACGAGTTCATGAAATGGAAATGGAGGGCCTTTGCAAAATATCGTCATGGAGACAAGAATGATGCACATTGATCACACACGCCAGCACACACTATTTTCTCGTGGTCATTGTGTCCAATCTTGTCACTTGTGTTCACTTCTTCAGGTATCCCGGTGCGGGTAACTAACCTGGCTGACAAGACTGTCAAGGAAGAAGCACTGGAGTTGTTTCTCTACTTGAACGAAGTCGGGTAAGTCGTGGAAGTCGAGCTTGTGCTGTCATTGTATTGCATCGAGTTTTGCGCGGGGGGGGGGGGGGGGGAGGGAGAGACAGACAGACCGACAAAATCCCACAAATTACACAATCAGGCGAGGTGCTCAATTTAAAAGCAGCTCTGAAAGGCATGCTGCTCTTTAGGAATGTGACAGACTTTGTCGGCGATCACATCAGTATCAGGCCGTGTCCACCCTTTGGCAAAATCACCATAGCAGCGTTTCTGCTTTGTGCTTTTCTCTCTCCTTCTGCCTCTGTGGGTCTCTCTCTCTCTCTCTCTCTCTCTCTCTCTCTCTCTCTCTCTCTTCCCTACAGTGGTCGTCATGGTGTTGGTCGCATTGATATTGTGGAAAACCGTTTCATCGGGATGAAGTCACGTGGTAGGTCTCACCTGAATGAAGTCCCTTTGTATAAAAACCAAGTCAGTTTACCTGTCCCCTGATCCTAACGTTCTCGTGATCTCTTGATCCCAGCCAGCTTGTGCTGGAGAGGTGCGCTCAGGTTCTGTACAGTTCACCCTGCAGCTAATAACGACCCTCGACCATGCATGAGAAAACTGTCGGTATTCGTGAGGTTGAATGTATGCAGCGGGACGGTCACTGGGTCTCAAGATTGGGTGGATATTCGTGAGTTGTTGTTATACCGCGTGGTCGTTATTCACAAGATTGACTGTAGCTGGGGATTGAGCAGAGTCGAGCAGTACACAGTGTGTGCATGTTGAGCGAAAACACAATAAGCACGCCATCCCCCTGCTGATTAACTCAATCTGCTCCTGCAGCGCTCACCCTCTCCCATACTTGTAAAATTCAAAGTGATGTAAATTACTTTCCAACTACATAACCCACAGCCCCACCCACAGCATCTCACCTTCTCATAAACGTATCTCTTATTGGCGATGGTGCCATCGTGAGAATAAAGAATTCAAAAATCCCCAAACAGTTGTGGGGTTGTCGTGTGAGTGGACACATCGGTGCTTCTCTCCTCTGTGCTAAACTATAAAAGACGTGTGCGTGGGGTCATTACTAGATTCCGTGCCCACAAAGTGGATAGCATTGTAAATCGTTAGCTTTAGACTTGCTATACTGTACAGGCAGAAAATTTCGTCGTCTGTAATTTCGTCCCAACTCCAAAGAAAGGGAGTTCGTCCGGTTGTAAGTTTTGTCCATGGATCAAAAGAGTGTATTGAAAAGCTGGACAAATCGACGTTTATAGTAGTCCGGCATTCAATTTAGTCCAAAAGCTCCTTGGACGAAAAAGACGAAATTAAATTCCAGACGAATATTTCTGCTTATACAGTACTTTCAGCTGCTTCAGTACTTGCTGTGGTATGTGTTCCCTCTGTTAAGGTATTTATGAGACGCCCGCTGGTTACATTCTCCTGCAAGCACATTTGGACATTGAGACCTTTACCATGGACAAGGTAGTGGCAACTGATAACACAATTGAACGTACTCACACTGTCTTGGCTCTATTGCGCCATGATGTGAGGTTTCTAATCCACACTCAACGCACCACTGATTGTTATTTTGAAGGGGATGCGTGACTGCATTTGCTACCTGGGTGTGTGATATCATGCACTGATGGATCGCACTGCTTTCCACTTCATAAGCTGGCTGATGCGACGGCACGCACAGTGTCCTAGTAAACTGTGCCGCCTTCCACGGCACAAGCTAGGTGACGTGATGCCCTCATGCATAGGCTAAAACATCCACAGTAAAAACCTGTAACTAAAGACCGTGTTGTTTCTGGCCCCAGGGGCTGGTCGTTCCTTACAGGTTATGCTATACAGTAAAACCTGACAAAGCGGCCACTCTGATAAGGCAGGCACCTTTCCTAGAGGGCCACTACAACTTGGGTGGTATTACCAGTCATATGACCCTGGTTAAGGCACCCACCTGTGCACTAGGACCACGTCTTGAAGATTCTTTGAGCGATTGGTTTAGTTGTCTCCAGCACAGATGAATGTTTTTTAAAGGGTTATCTCCACTGGTATCATTGACACGCATTCGTGAAGTTGACCGTCTATTCAGATGGGGAGAAAACATTTGCTGAAGTTGTTATGACTCGGATTCTCTCTCTCTCTCTCTCTCTCTCTCTCTCTCTCTCTCTCTCTCTCTCTCTCTCTCTCTCTCTCTCTCTCTCTCTCTCTCTCTCTCTCTCTCTCTCTCTCTCTCTCTCTCTCTCTCTCTCTCTCTCTTTCCTCCATCTGCACTGTCCAGGAATTGCGTAAGGTCAAGCAAGGCCTATCAATTCGTTTCTCGGAGCAGGTCTATCACGGTTTCTGGTTTGCGCCGGAGTGTGAGTTTACCCGGTAAGCATTGCATTCACCGCTTGCTGGGAACTCATCATCCTTAGCATGGGGGCCCGTCACCTGCTGCGGGACTGGCTCCGCAAACAACCTGGATACTACCTTGGCGTACGTGTGGGTGTGCGCACGTACACATGTGTGAGTGTGTTTTTTACCGTGTCCCATATGGTCTGAAAGGAATTCGGGTGGACATACCCATTCCCATAGCGCTGCACATCCGAACCAGGTCAGTTAGTTTACAACGTTTCGGCACTTGGCCATCGTCCGGTAATAACAATGAATACCGTGGAAGCCACACAAGAGCAGTATATATGTCGGACTCAGTAGAGCGTCCAGCCCCTATATGATGTCCAACCCCTATATAGAGTCCATTGGTCCAAAATCCACTGTACAGAGTCCAAACTTGGAATCAACTGTGAGCTCAAAGCTTAGATGGACATCACTCCCTGTATAGAGTCCAGCCAATTGGCTTCACCCCTATATAGAGTCCATTGGTCCAAAATCAACTGTACGGAGTCCAAACTTTGAAATCAATTCTTTATGTGGACAACACTCCCTGTATAAAGTCCAGCCAATTAGGCATCCCCTATCCAGAGTTCGAAATTAGACATAGGATCTGCTGTAAGCAGTGAATATTAACCAGAAAACGGCCTCTCCCTTTAATCCTTTACATCATTCACTTCTCAAGATAAAAAATAAGTAGTGAGGCGCCACTGCAGCCACTTCATTACATGAAAAACCCTACAAACACCATCCTCAAATCAAGTGGTCTCTTCGCAGACGCTGCAAAATACAATATCTCAATCATCTAGTGTTGCCAAAGTATTGTGCACGCACACACACACACAACGCCAAGAAAATACCTAGAAAAAAACCAAGAATTGAAAGAGAATAATGGAGAGCCAAGGATTAATTATTTGTTTTCAAATTATGCGGAATGCGGAAAGCCCGACTTCCAGCCGAGTCCCACGCGAACCGTGATTTTTTTTCAAATTATTGTGCGCGCGCACACACACACACAAACTTATACAACGCCAAGAAAACACCAAGAAAAGAGTAGAGACACAATACACACGCAACTCCAACAGCCATGCAAACGTCCACCTATTTACACGTAAAGTCAAGGGGGATAACAAATAATTATACGAAACGAATGCATACATGGGCGGATGCACGCACGTTTACATACATGTAGTAGTGTAAGAGAGTAACATAGTGCAGTAGTCAGCATAATACTAGCACATGCTGAGAGTGCAATAGCAAGCTTCACCATTGCTCATGGCCATGCAAATGTTCAGCAGCACTCAGTTCCGCAAGCTTCTGAAGATCAGCACACCTGCAACAAATAGATAGCACAAGGATACGCTTATTACCGTAATGATGCATGGGAGCACACAACTACCAAGTTCTCAACGAATGTGATGCTCAATGAAAATCCATCCACGCAAAGACCTGTGAACAGGTGACGGTGGGGACAATAATCTATTAGTAATACGAGGAATAAGGTCGTTTGTGCACACTCAAGACGCACAGACACACCACCATACATGTAGTGTACACAGTGTTTCACTTCACTGTAACTAAATTGAAATGAGATGATTTGAACAATCTGTACAGCGTTGCCGTCAGTCAGTCTTCCCCAAGATGGAAATGCAATGATTTGTTGTCACGAGGCAGTTTCACTGACACAATGCCATGTTTGTGACATCAAAATGGTTACTTCATGGAATACGAGTACATGTATTAGCTTGAGAAGCTTTTTCTTGTCATCGGCATACAAGAAATCCTCCTCCTACTACTACTAGTACACTGGCACTGCGTTTGTGGATCCCATTGTATTTGACATCATACTAGAGCCTAGTAGAGGAAGAGTGTCGTGGAGTTACATAATTATCACAGGGATAAAAATACATTTCTCATGAAATAAAAATAATTGATGATAGCTGACGATCGTATACGATTGATGCAAAGTCCTTGCAGTCCTTGAGGATTATTACGAAGTGGTTGATTACTTTTAGGGCATTCATTCAAGCAACATCAAACAAAACTTGTCAAAAGCGATACGCTCCTTGAAAATGGAAACAAATTCAAGCATAACGACAGAACAGCAGACCAATCGAAACGAGTAAAAGCTTCCTTACCTCAGTCATCGTCCTGCCATGTAGTTGGACAGCCTTTTGACACGGTGGTACAGGCAGCTCTTGTCCAGTCGAACAGGGTATCCTTGTGGCGTCGAACGAAAGAGAGTGTCAGTGTAATACACTGACACTCTCAGTATCTGACTCGTCAGATTGGAACTGTGCTGAACGTTGTTACTTTTCTCGTTCTCCGCTTTCTGCTTTCATCCCTCGCTCTGATGAAACCGTTCAAATGTCTTACTGGCAGCAATGGCCAGCCAAACAGGGGATCTTTGTGGCGTCGAACGAAAGAGTGTCAGTGTACCTGACTCGTCAGATTTGAACTGTGCTGAACTTTTCGTTCTGCAATTTCTGCTTTCATCCCGCGCACTGATGAAACGTCTTCAGAGAACCACAAGACGCTTTCCAGATTTGATTTTGAACGTCTCCTTATCCTCCTTGGTTACCTCGAGACAGATTACTGTCAGCAACTGCACAGCAGAACTGACAGCCATGGCTGAAGTGAAGAAAGGAATGCGCTGCCACGAGGCAAGCAAAACTGAAAAGGTGTTTGTTCTCTTTCGGGCACAACACACAATACAGGACGGCGTGACTGGATAAACTGGACTCCTGGACCGTGAATAGGGGACTTGTAGAAAAAGTGTACTCCTTATAGGGGATTGCGCGGCAGGATGAAGCTGATCAAAACTGAGTGGACTCCTGGACTCTGTATAGTGGATTTTGGACCAATGGACTCTATATAGGGTGCTGGACATCATATAGTGCATGGACTCTATACTGAGTCCTACATATATGAGCCCCAGTCAGCAGAAACCTGAACATGTGTAATTTTTTCAAAAATTATTTTTTCGCTCGAAATTGATTCTACACTATTAATCATTCAAGTTATCAAGTTTGGTGACAATCTGATAAGCGAAAGCGTGGAAAATAGAGTTTGAAGTCACACAGGTCAAGATTCCATACAGTTGGCGCAGCATCCATGCGGAGTGACTCCATGCAAGTTGATCCTACAGTTTCTGATTGTGATGTGGAACAGGTACATGTAAGTAAATAGAATGCAAGTCAGGCTTGCCCTCTTGGTGCTGCAGGCACCAGTAGTTCAGAAGTGTGACGATATTCTGTATACACCACTACCTTCTTTACAACACCAGAGTGCAAAACGATGATTGGTGGCTGGCCTTCCAAATTGTGTTCAGGGAACTCTATGCTGGCAGTTTGAGCGTTGTCCCAAAGCTTGCCACACTGATAGGTGTACTGACCAATACCACTGACATCCACTCCCTTGCACACTTTCACTCAGACCATGATTTCAGCATAATTTTATTTCAATGATATGAGCGAATATTCGCGTTTTGTAGCACGTGAAGATGTTGCCCCAAAGCGTTCAGCCGGTTTGACTTTTTAGGAGTCCCCTTTCTCAACACAGGCAGCAGCCAGCTTGGCGTCGTCTGGCAAGGTAGAGTACTGATAATACTACGCTCTGTTTTGCGCCGTGAGAAGCCCTCCATCAGTGTCCGCAACATCATTGTTGTCGATGTAGAAATAAGGATCGCTCAGCAGGTCGACATTCAGCTTCTCCTCGCAGTCGCTATTACTTCAGCACTGACTATCGTCGCCACCAGTATCCAGTGTCGATTTTATGAGAGCTCTGCGTTCCTATGAATCATGATGAGACTCGCCAATGCTGGACAAACTCAGCGAGATCGCCACCAAAGAAATAATTCCGATCGCGAACTAACTTTCAGCGCCGCTTCGTACAGGGAGTCTCACGCTGACAACTCTGGACCTAAGTCCTTGTCGCGACACCTGTCGCCATCGCTGTGTCTAAACTCAACCTCCGTTTGACGAGCTCTATCACCTAGCGCTAAAATCAATTGACCAGACTCATTTGAAGACACTTGAAACTCCTTTGACAACGAAGACACCCACTCGATCGAAAAAGAATCTTCAAAAGCCAGCTCACTGCGCGTCCCAAACTTTGACGTCATATTTTGATGATTGATATCAAGTACACAAGTGCTGGTTTTCGCTGGCCGGGGCTCATATATATACACCAAGAGAAAAGACAATTGACACTCGCTCCTCTGCAGCTTCCAAGACCATTGCACAAACCGCCACGCTGCCTCGCTCCGGGAAGAGGAGAACCAAGTTTGAAGAAGGGCTGAGGCTTCCTGCAGCTTCATCTGTGAAAGGAATTCGGGTGGACACACCCATTCCCATAGCGCTGCACATCCGAACCAGTTCAGTTAGTCTACAACGTTTCGGCACTTGGTGGTGGTTTTTTTCTTTTGGCGTATATATATAGTATTATATACTGCTCTTGTGTGGCTTCCACGGTATTCATTGTTATTACCTGACGATGGCCAAGTGCCGAAACGTAAACTAACTGAACTGGTTCGGATGTGCAGCGCTATGGGAATGGGTGTGTCCACCCGAATTCCTTTCAGAGATGAAGCTGCAGGAAGCCTCAGCCCTTCTTCAAACTTGGTTGTCCCATATGGTGCAGTGGTATGTGCAGTCGATTTCCAATCGTGAGGTTACGGGTCCAATTCCCCATGATTATGGTCACTCAGGTCTTTCTCAGGGCATGTTCGATTGGTAGGGTAGGGATCGAGATCCAGATCTCAGATCCATCAGATCCTTCCAGAGTCAACTGAGCACTTTATGTTAGGCCTTGGCTGTTGCCATGTAGACGAAGTAATAAAATGGCGCTCACAGGTCACCCAAAAGGGTGAAAGTTGTACTCATCGCGCGCGTCGTACGAAAATTCGAAAAGTCAACCAGATCTATCTCGATCCCCACGTGTGCGTACCACAATGTGTACAAAATGATGTTAACCCGCCATATACCCACGAAGGTGAGATTTGGATCCGTTGGATCCAGTCAACCCTGCTCCCCGAGGTGGGTTGACCGGATCCAAATCCGAAGGATCCGGATCCGGATTCGACCAATCAAAAGGGTAATCCTGATCCTACCAATGGAACATGCCCTCAGACTCCTCCTGACTTTTCTTTCATTCTCCTGGGTGGTTACCTACAAACAGTGCATGCCGGAGTATGTGGTGTGATGTGTGTGGGGGAAAAATGAAAAAGGCCAAAAGTAGGGATTCACTGGCCAGAAAAAAGCCACTTCACATAGCTGTGTGGTGTAGACCAGGCTGAATTGTGGCAGTCAATTCTGCAGCCTTGCAAGCTGTTGAATGGTGCAATCCCAGCACAAGTTGCTATGGCTTCTGCTGTAGCATCGCTATCATCGCCTCTGGCGATGTGCGCCAAAAAGGTCAAAAGGGTTTTACGGCAGTGGGTCAACGGGACAGGACAGCTGTGTGTGTGCCGCGCTGTCTATACTGGTTACCCAGCATGTGTAGGGCGTGCTGTCTTGGTCATCCTATTCCGTTGTCCTCCGTGTGGTGTAGACCAGGTGTGGATTGGGGGTCGATCCACATGGTTTCGCCAGTTGTGTGGATTAAGCAGTTATCTGGCACCAGCCCTGATCTGTTTCATTCCGATAAGTTCCGTTCTTGTTACTATAAGACAGGATTCTGTGGGTGCACGTCCAGTGCATTTTGAGATCTGCGTGCTTCTCTTGCGACGGGCGTACACATGCTACATGGTGTGTCGCTGTGTGTGTCGCTGTGTGTGTGTGTGGGGGGGGGGGGGGGGGGGTTGGGCTATGTTGCTTGTTAGATGACTGTGGTTGTGTATCCTGTATCCTTTCTTTCCTTGTTCTTTATCAGATCTTGTATTATCAACAGTCAGTCATCAGTGACTGGTACAGTACGACTTGCACTCTATCGTGGACAGGTATGCTTCTGATTCTTGTTGGTGTTTGAATCCTTCATTCTCTGTGGCAGTACTTGGTCCGCGTCAGCAATATTGTCGCTTATCTTTCGACAATTTGAACTTAGACTTTGCACATGAACGCGTGCTCTTGAAGTGATAAAACTTGGTACGATGGACGGTAAGGTATAGAATGACAACTAGCTGCGAGGAATTTATTGTCCAAGGAAGGGTTCCTACTTTTTTCGGTCCTCCTCGTCGCTGCTCTCGTCGCTGGCGACAAATATTTTTGCTCGGAATCGACTCTCTTGCTTTTGCAAGCTCATCTCTCTTCCTCTCCGCTGCCTGGCTATTTTCTAAAGAGAAGTCGATCGTGACGGTTGCCTTCTCTATAGGACTTCGCGTGGGCAGCACGACAGCCTGTATGGTTCAAATCAGACGCCGTTCTTTGCAAGATTTTATTTTGAACGACGACGACGCGTACAGTACTTGCAAATCTCCACGATGCGCTGGATACTTCGAGCGTTGAGCTGGAGGTAAGGGAGCTGCGATCTCAGCTTGATGAGCGATCCCTGAGGTGAGCGATCTCGGCCGTTCAGCAAAATGGAGCTGATTCCGAGTAGCCGATTACTTTCTTGTGGCTTGCGCTGCTCTTGCCTGCACAGCGTAAAAAGATAATCTATTTTGATGCGGCGCTGTATCAATCAGAATCGCCCACCTGTCGTTCTTGAAATCTACTCGAACTCTAGCTAGACCTTTCAGGTACTAGCAAACTAACTTGCTAACCAAAATTTGGATGAAATGGGCTGCCAAGTAAGCATTGGCAACATATAAACAAAGCTGAAAGATAAGCGACAATATCGCTGACGCGGACCAAGTAATACGGATGTTGGGAGATGATAGGACTTTCTCAATATCGTCTGCAGCCGTCTCTATTGTTTGTTTGTTTGTATACTTTATTTGAATTCGCTAATCCAAACGAGCACAAATGCTCAATGACAAGCCTGCTAATATGTTATTATGTTACAGGGAAGGAGGGCTGGGGAGAAAATAAGGAGAAAAAAGAGAGAATGGTAGATATCTCAATGAAGAGCGAAGCGTTATCAAAACTACAATTTTGCCAGCGAACGCCAGTTCTGTAACCCGCCTAATAGACTAAGTACTTTTTTTCAGGCGTGCAATGGACTGTCATTAAACAGAAACAGAAAAATAATAATAAGGCACCCATTTTGATAGTCCAGGGGATGGCCCACGCTTGGTAAAGAGAATAAAATAAAAAACTAAGTACTAACTGCTAACGAGAGTACAGTCCGTATCGCCTATAAGGTTGGCGGCTATAGTAATATACCGGATATAGTGATCAATTTCTCAAATTCAATTTCATTTGCCATAACTAAGTATACACAGTTATCGCATATAATAATAATCGTCTATAGTAATATATCGCCTATAGTGATCAAATTCTTATTTCAAAAGACCTTTATTACATTATGTTTGCATCGGTTATAGTGATTGATGTAAAATCAAGCGCTGTTAGAGGAGAACAGGGTGTTACTTCTTCGTGAAGAACTTGTCCAGTGAGTGTTGTTTGGTGAGTTTTGCTCATACAAGTTGCCAAAATATGCCTCCATTGTGAGGAAATGCTGATTTTCTGTGTCAGGAGCTACAGCCAGCTACATGACATTGTACATGTATGTAGTGCGTATGTGCACGGCGCGCTGAGTCGTTTGACACCCCACTCGCATACATTGCATGCAGTATCGGTCATAGTAATATATCGCTTATAGTGATAAAATGCTCAAAATCAAACACCAATGCCATAGGCGATACTGACTGTACTTGCTACTAACATCGGGAGGATTTTTTTTAAGGCCAACCCTGCCCTGCCAGTTACGGACTTACGGGGGTCGCCATGGCAAATAATAATGGTTAACAGTGAAAATCAATCACAGACAGGAAGCTGGTACGACGGCAGCTTTGAAGCTGCTGAGAGACGACAGTACTCTGACTGCATCTGGTAGGACGTTCCAAAGGGCCTTGGGAGACAGGGCGAGATCGTCCGGCGCGGGTTCGTGTAGCTCGTAGACGGAGCCCCAGGGCGAGATCCAGGCGCGTCCTACGATCCGCGCGGAGTGCGAAGAGCTCCTGGAGGATTGTTGATGTCATCATTACCGTTGTTGCTATTGCTGCTGCTTCTGCAGCCCATTGTGGTGGTGGTGGTGGTGGTGATGGTGGTGGTGATGTGTGTGCAGGGAGGGAGTGATGTGTGTGTGTGTGTGTGGGGGGGGGGGGGGGGGGGAGGGGATAAAGTGTATGTGTGTGCAGGGGAGGGGTGGGGGTGTGATGTATATGTGTGCAATTCTTGACTTCTATACACGAATTATAATTGTGCGTGCTTGTGTGTGTGTGTGTGTGTGTGTGTGTGTGTGTGTGTGTGTGTGTGTGTGTGTGTGTGTGTGTGTGTGTGTGTGTGTGTGTCTGTATCTGTGTCTGTGTGCGTATGCACACGCGTACATGTGTGCACATTCCTTCTCAGGTGTATATCCGTGCCAGGCAGTCTCCATTATCTTTATATAACCAGGAGTTGGTCAGGTATGTTCCCTATTGTGAAGGATGTCCTTTCTTACACGCCTAGACATACACCATCATATAGAGTATTGGCATACTTACAAGTTCTGCTGTTGTGGACATGGAAATCTGTTGAGAAGTCAAGCGGCCACTGGGCGCTGTCCAGATGTAGATCAACGCCATCATCAATACCTGTCTTTATGGCTAAAACTTTACTATTTTGTGTGTGTTCGTGTATGTGTGTGTGTGTGTGTGTGTGTGTGTGTGTGTGTGTGTGTGTGTTCATGTGTTTGTGTGTATGTGTGCATGCATGGGTGTGTTTGTTTGTTCTGTATGTTCTTGCAGCATGGACATTGCTGGCGGCTACGACCCCAGTGACGCTGAAGGATTCATTCGTATCAATGCCTTGCGGTAAGCTCATTTACTGTCTGTACCGAGCCGAGGTCTGATCATGGTCGCTACAGTCATCCCACTTCAATCCAGCACAATTTCGGAAGCCAAAATGTCCTCTTCATGCACATTGCAGCAGTAAATCAGATATGATAATCCAGCACCCTCCCTAGTCCAGCAGAATTCGTGTAGCACAAATGTTGCCGTACTATAAAGTGACCTCTGTACTAGTGCAGATGTGGGTGGATGGCACTGCTCACTGCTGGCACTGCTGGCATCAGTCTAATGTGGGTGGAAGGCACTGCTGGCATCAGTCTAATGTGGGTGGAAGGCACTGCTGGCATCAGTCTAATGTGGGTGGAAGGCACTGCTGGCATCAGTCTAATGTGGGTGGAAGGCACTGCTGGCATCAGTCTAATGCGGGTGGAAGGCACTGCTGGCATCAGTCTAATGTGGGTGGAAGGCACTGCTGGCATCAGTCTAATGTGGGTGGAAGGCACTGCTGGCATCAGTCTAATGTGGGTGGAAGGCACTGCTGGCATCAGTCTAATGTGGGTGGAAGGCACTGCTGGCATCAGTCTAATGTGGGTGGATGGCACTGCTGGCATCAGTCTAATGTGGATGGGTATATATGGTACATGGGTGGGGCTTGCCTTGGTGATTTTTCAGAGAAACAAGTGTGACTCCGGCACTAGAAAACTTGGTATATGTCTGTGCTAGCTGGTGCATCGGGTAATTTCTCCTCTGTCCCTTTCTGTGTGTGTGTGTGTGTGTGTGTGTGTGTGTGTGCGTGCGCGCGCGCGCGCGCGTGTATGATTTGTTCGTGTTGTGTCTCCCGTATCCGCATGGTGCGTGCAGGCTGAAGGAATACTACCGTCTTCGCACTGCACAGTCTCTGCTGGAGAAGGCCTCGTCGTGAGCACTGCAACTTCACAGACAAGCATGCCCTGGTCAGCCCAGTTATGTTCTTTAGTTTCAGCATTTCAGGTGGCCTTGTTTTGGACAATTTCTCCATGCTCCCGCCGGACATCCGTAATACCGTAGTACTTAATGCCATACCTGTGGGACCCCGCCCGCAGCCTATTTATACTTGCCCATCCTGCATACAGTATTGCTGCTGTCCCATGTTACGTATTAGACTTCTACCGTGCTGCTTTGCATTCGACTTCTTCTCGTTTTTTTCCACGTGGCTTTGCTCCAGGTAGGCAGCCCTGTGGAAACTTGTATGCAACATTACTCCTCTACTTTTTCGTTGGTATCCTATTTTCTATCGTTTCTAGTCCTAGTTGGGGATGTGCGGTTGGCATTTAGTTTTTAGTTTTTCTTTTCGCTGCTCGTATCTTCTTCGGTGCATGGCTCTTTGGCACATGCCCTCACTCCACCCAGCCGCCACTATCGTAATGGTACATCCGTGGGCGCCTGGGGTTGCGATGCCGGCTGCAGTCACATCGGGCACCCAAGAACCCTCCATGCAGGCTCTAAAATCACTGAAATCCAAAAGCGTGCCAGCAGCCCTGCTGCAGGGAGTTGAATGTAATGTTAGATCAAGTCAGGGCCGTGAAGGGACTTCACGACTCCCTGCTCTGGTTCCAGACTGTTCAGGGAACGCACGCACTCTCCTTGCCTGCATGAGCAACTCGATGCATGCCCTGGAGCGTCCAGGAGCAAGTGGTCAGATTCCGGTGGCCTACCCTACAGCAAGCTTAGTCGCCTTAGCTTAGTTTTGTTGATCTACGAGTAAGTTACAGGCTGCGTGTGTAGATCAGGGAGTCATGAAAGCACGACTCCCTTAGGCCTAATCTACACAATAGTCAGTGATTTACTGCGGAAATTACACCCCAAAAAAGCACATGGGCAGGAATAAAGAAAAGGAGCAAAGCCAGGCGACCGCATTCAGAGCCGGGATTGTGCCACTTACGACCAGATTTCAGCTCACAAGTACGAGTACTGGAATGTACTACTAGTAACGAGGGGATTAGGGAATTTCCTATGCCCCCCCCCCCCCCCCCCCTCTGAACCGGAGCCCAATAATACGGTTCATATGGTTGCAAGACCGGGACTCCGCCAACAATGGGGGGGGGGGGGGGGGGTTGCAGGCAGGAACACTGGTTTCCATACAGTATGTCATCCGATTTTGTGCTTTGTTGTCATCATCTTACCTACATGTACGTCCACAACTAACAGACTTACTTATATACTTACAACCAGGGAGTAGTAAAATACTGTATTTTACTACTCCCTGCTTACAACTGGGCCGCTCGACCTCTGACTGTCACTGTATTTCCAATGTCCACGACAGACTAAAAAGTAAAAATTAATGCCTAACTCCTTGAAAACCGGCGGCACGTTCCGGCTGTCTGCCTTCCACGACAGTGCACTGACGTCTGTACAGGCTCTAGATTTACTCTGCATCTGGCTGGGTGTTGTGGAAAGACGTCATGTCCAGGATTGCTGTTGTCATCATCATTCAGATTCATTGCCCTGCTGTTGACTGTTGTACCCAGGCATAGGGACATACACTTCAACTGTCTCTCGTGTGTACAGGAACTACAGTCATTTTTGTAGCTGCATGACCATGATGACTATGTCTGTCCATGAGGCATGATGGCACACCTACTCAGTACTTGTACAGTATGTCCTTACACGATCACAGTAAAGAGTTAGCATACCAATACTTATGTGACACAAGACTCGACAATGTGGAATGGAGTGGCACTTTTACCATGTTTACTAGCCAGCGCCAATGACAGCGGTGCGGACTGTGCACATGTGCACGCCTGCGTGACTGTGTACCAGTGTGTACGCATGTCACCACCGATCTGCTGGGAGCTCCCATACCAGGATCGCAGGAGTGCTCTAGCTGTGCGGACTCGTACACAACGCCACTAGCTGCTGCTAAAGTTTGCGCTGGAAGCGCTGGAGCAGTGGAGGTCGAGGAAATACAACACAACTGGCAAGCCTGAGCGGAAAAGATACTGAACTCGCTGGGACGATTCCGCTTTGTGTTTTTAGATCTTGTAGCTCTACATGGATAAGACTCAAACTATTTTGTCTGCATCGGATTCGTGGCCAAACTCCAGTCGTTTCCCCTGAGACGCTGCTGGAGCGGCCGAAGGAGGATGGAGAAAGACGATGACTCTGAGTACTACGCGTTTCCTGTGGAAATGCTGTTCAAAGCTCAGCCAGGCCTCGGCTCACCCATGGCCGCACGCAGAGAGGAGAATATGGAAGGGCTGGCTCGGCAGCAACACTCCGAAATGCAGGCTTGGCAGCGGGATGCTGAGAGCGCTGCTGCGACCGCTCACTTGGGTGAGGCGGATAAAATACAACCGTTGGCGGCTCTAAAGTCGCAGCATAACGCGGCTAGCGAGTGCGCGGAGTCAGTGAAGATTCCCCAGTCGGTGCTGGAAGCTCTGGACGTACCTCCACCAGCGCTCCAGCTGGAGCAACATGGCAAGGTAGGAGAAGGAGGACAACGCGTTCCCGAAAGTGAGGACGTCGTCGGTGGGGTTAGAGTTCAACTGGGGCCTGGAGAATGTGATGACGTTTTTGACAAGAGGCACTCGAGAACTACAGTGAGCACGGTTCAACTTGGGCTAGCTGCAGGGAGCACGGTTCAACCTGGGCTAGCTGCAGGGAGCACGGTTCAACCTGGGCTAGCTGCAGGGAGCACGGTTCAACCTTTGCTAGCTGCAGCGGCGACTGCAGCACAAGCTGATGTCAATGCAGGGTGTGCAGGGGAGAGCACTGTGGACAAAGCACAGCCAGCACAGTTAGCATCAGGAACCGCCACCTCTCGAGTACAGAACCTCCCAGCCTTGGGCAGCACAACGACTGACTTTGCCATAAAAACAGGTGCTGGTAGAGTCCCGGACACGTCGCCAGGTGTAGTGGGACAACAGGCTGATGCGGCCCATATCAGCAGTGGGGTGCGGCATTCAATAGCACCACCACCACCTGGGTCACATGATGAGGGCACATCAACGGATATGACGTCATCTGCCCAACAGCAAATCAGTTCACCAGGTTTCCAACTGAAGTACTCACCCTCGAGTGCCTCACAAGATAAGCCAGAGGGAACTGGCGCTGACCAGCCAGAAGGCGAGTACACACCCGGAGAATTTTCACGGCGACAAAGAGCGGCAGCGAGCAAGCCCATTCCTGGCAGCGGTGATGGCCATGTTGAGTCAAGACGCATCCCCGTACACGCCACATCACATGTTGGCTCGGCGGATAAACACAGCCCTGTGAGCTTCTCCAACACACTCGCATTGACAGCGGCCACAGCAGACGAACATGAAGACGTCCATCAAGATAAACTGGTTTCGCAGAGTGCCTCAAGCACCCTCGCCACAGACGATGTGAAGGTACAGATCAGAAGCACGGACAGTTCAAGACAAGCATATGAAGTCCAGCATCGTCAAGGGCACACAGGCGTACACACAGCGCTCACTGAGCTGCACACCAGCGGAACCAACAACCCACCCGTTTCTGCGCACTCTGTCGAACTCGGCCGTGAACAGTCTGGTTTGGTGTCCATGGCAACCACTCTGTCTGCCCTCACTCTGCATGCTGTGACGTTGACAGCCCCCGCTGGAAGTATTAGTCGTACGCCACACTCGGATCCTGGTCCAGACACGAGTGCTGTTGAGTTTCAGAGCGAGCAGGGCATCGCGCATGGATCACTATTGCCCAGTTCTGTTGGCGAACCACCCGTGTCACTTTCAACAAAGAGTGGAGATTTCAGAACGCCACACGCAGATAGCACTCCAAGCTCGACAACAATGAAGACGGTCTCTGAAAAGGAACCAGCAAGTTCCAGCCCGCCCAGTGCCTCGAGTCTGCTGCTAAACATGTCCACACAGTCTTCAAGAAGCGCTACTGGCACAGCCACTGTTGACTCACCACATGCGGCACAGGAATCAAGCTGTACATACTCTCCAGCTGTCACATGGTCATCTACCAGCATCAACAGTAGCAAGTCTACCATCACCACTGAAGAATCTGCCATCACCAGTAGCAAGTCTGCCATCACCACTGAAGAATCTGCCATCACCAGTGAAAAGTCTGCCATCACCACTGAGGAGTCTGCCATCACAACTGAGGAGTCTGCCATCACCAGTGAAAAGTCTGCCATCACCACTGAAGAATCTGCCATCACCACTGAGGAGTCTGCCATCACCAGTGAAAAGTCTGCCATCACCACTGAAGAATCTGCCATCACCACTGAAGAATCTGCCATCACCACTGAGGAGTCTGCCATCACCAGTGAAAAGTCTGCCATCACCAGTGAAAAGTCTGCCATCACCACTGAAGAATCTGCCATCACCAGTAGCAAGTCTGCTATAACCAGCGAAGAGTCTGCCATTACCGCTAGCAAGTCTGCCATCACCAGTGAAGCGTCTGCCAGCAGCCTTACCAGTAGCAAGTTTGCTGGCGTCATTAGTGGCACGGCTGCCAGCAGCAGTAGTAACGCCAGTGGCAAGTCTGTCGGCACTAGTGAAAAGTGTGCCATCACCAGTGAGATATCTGCCACCAGCCTCAGTAGCGTCAGTGGCAAGTCTGCCAGCAGCCGGACTGGAAGCAAGTCTGCAGGCAGCAGCAGTGGCAAGTCTTTCAGCAGCGGCAGCAGTGGCAAGTCTGCAAGTGTCACTCGTAGAGAGTCTGCCCGCAACGTCAGCAGCAAGTCTGCAAGTGGCACTCGTAGAAGGTCTACTGGAAGTGCTAGTGGCAAGTCTGCAAGTGGCACTCGTGGAAGGTCTGCTGGTAGCAGCGGCGGCAGCATTAGCAAGTCTCCTGGCGGCATCAGTGGCAAGTCTGGCCGGCTTGCTACCGGTGGGCCCAAGCTATCGACTGTCGGCGGCCCCAAGCTGTCTACAATCACCGAGTCGTATCTGGAAGGACATTCTCATTCTGCAACTGTGAAAGCGGAGAAGTCTACCATTGTGCCAACCATGCTGGCCAGCGCTGCTACCGTCAGCGCTGCTACAGCCAGCTCTGCTACAGCCAGCGCTGCTACAGTCAGCGCTGCTACAGCCAGCCCATCAAAGTGCATACCCGTCATCACTGTACAGCCACCCACCACCGAAGAAGAAAGCCAAACGGAAGCGGAGCGTAAGCACGGCAAGCAACCGATCATCAAGCCAAGATGGGCTAGCCTGCCAACAACCAATCCAAGATTTCTCTCCCCCAAGCTCCGCAAAACCAAGAGTACATCGTCGAAGCGAAAGTTAACCACCACCGTGAGGTCACCGCCGAAAGGCGCCCAACTCGAAACGTCACCAGTGACAACGAGCACTCCGAAACCTGCCGCGTCCCGGTCGACAGTGCGCTCTCGCAGTATGACCGCCCCGGCAGCCGTATCCACGACGATGGTTGATAGCAGGGGTAGGGTGGTTGCGCGCAAGACACTGCTCCAGGCTCGTTTGGACAGTGTAAACCGGCAAGCATGGGCTGAACTAGCTGAGAAGGACAAGCAGCCCACAGAGACCATGCCAGATCAATCCCCGGTCACGACATCACGTTCTCATCATCCCAGCACAGTCACTGGCACACTGTCCGTAGCAGAAGATGACGTGTTTGGATTTGCCAGGGAATCCACCGGTACGCCAGATCGAGTTCTGTATGGTGGTGGTGCCACTCGTGATGCCCTGGGGCAAGAGCCCACGGATAGATCTCTGCTTCGCCGCTCCTTCCGCCGTGTCTCCGCCTGGGGTCAGAAACGGTTGTCATCGGGGACTGGCTCACGTGTCCGGGAAACTGATGACGTAGACGCTGCTGCTGCTGGTGTGGCTGCGCATCAAACTGGTTCCGCTCCAACGACGCCTGTCCATTCTCGTGGAGGTAAATCACCATCACAGCTTAGTCTCAATGATTCGACGTCGTCGTTTCGCAGTGTGACATCCCCGCTGATATCGGAGAGTCCCACAACGACCGATATGGCACTCCTCAAGCAGCGGTTCAGCACTGGAACGTACTCTTCGGCGAATGCCGTGGATTTGTCGGATGTGCCATTCCAGGAGGAGACTCTCTGCATACAGGTATTGAGTAACGTGTACGTCGCTAACATAAACACAATATGCCAGCCTAGCATGCTGGCGCTTCGGCGCATCCGCTACGTCGTCAACCTGTCCGGCCGTGAGCTACCGCTGCTGCCCCTCTTCCTGGTAACCCATGATCTGTACATTTCCGACAAGTGCATCACCCCGTCCCTGTTCAAGTGCGGCAGCGATTTCATACAGGAGCACCGCGCCTCCGGGTATGGCATCGTCGTGTACAGCGAGCAGGGTGCGTCGCGCGCTCCCGCGTGCATCATTGACTACCTGATTCGGCACGAGGGCCGTGCGCTGCTGCCCGCCTACAACTTGATCAAGTCGCTGCTGCCGCATGTCTCGATGAGCCTGCGCCTTTTCCAGATGCTGCTCAGCGTGGAGCGGAGCGAGCTGGGCGTGAACAGCATGGATGCCGAGGACTACATCCACGAGAATCTCACCTTGCCACGCCTCAGCCACTACGTGTGAATCGAGCGAGTACGTTGCTGAATGCTGCATGCTGGATGCTGCAGGCACTGATGAAACGCCTGCGAAAAGGCAGGCGGCCACGCTGGCCCGACACGTGCCAGTGCACCGTGCATTGTGAGCAGTGCAGGCATGCTCCGGCAGACTGACGGAAGGTAAACCATCAAGCATGACGGTGACAGCAGCAGCAGAAGCAGCAGCGAGGGCGGTGACGGCAGTGACTGCAGAGGCTACGGCAAAGACGACGGTGACACCAAAGAAGATATGTACCACGACAATGGCGATGAAGACAACAAAAGTGGACAATACTGAGATATAGAGTAATCACTCGGGTATTAACACTGGATAGTCAAACACTCACTGTAGGACTGTATGTAATGTTAATGTGTTGCAGTTTTAATGATGATATCCGAATAAGTGAAATGTGACGACAAGCAGCCCTTCAGAATGCAATCTGTGCGGTTATGCATTCATACGTGTGTGTGTGTGTGTGTGTGTGTGTGTGTGTGTGTGTGTGTGTGTGTGTGTGTGTGTGTGTGTGTGTGTGTGTGTGTGGTGTGTGTGTGTGTGTCCACCCAGTGTTTTGGGGATTTCAGGGTGTCGGCCGTTGGGCGGTTCAATAGCCGATTGAGCCATCTTTCCAAGATTCCTTTTGAGTCTCTCTCCCCTCTTCCAGGGAGACCCACGTGAACAGTTTTGGCAGTGAGCAACAAGTACACCTACACGTGTGCGTGGGGCGGGGGGATGGGTGCATGTGCATATGCGTGTGTGTTCTGCTGTATTATTATCTGCATGGTGGGCTTGCATGTTGTAGCACCGTGAACGTGCTTCCGGACATCACACACGTCCCAGCCACACAGGGTGTGTAGCCTTCAAAAAAGGCATCGGTCAACATTGTTTTAAGTTAACAATGTTGAAAGTTGATGGGGTGTTTGCAGATCAACATGCAGTCTTGTAGCTTGTAAGCGAAAGAGTTTACGTTGCTTGTGCCTGTCCTAGCTACTGGCGGATAATGCTTGACAAATCACTCCCAATCACTCCCGCTAGCATAGTTAGCACTTTGCTGGTAACTACCGTAATTCCGCGCATATAAAGCCATGGCGTTATATCTGAATATAAGGCCACCCTCACTTATAAAGCCATGGCGTTATAAGTGAACACAATTCAATGTGGAGGAAGTAACTTAGTTGCATCCGGCGTTAATTAATTTAACCCTATAACGCCTATAGGGCGGATATATCCGCCAGACTGTACAGTGCATGCTGAGGTGACTTCAAACTTTCGTCATTCAGTCAATCCTTGTTCGATTTCAACAAACGAAAGGTCTAATCGTATCAGAAAAGCCTCAGCTGTCGGCTCCAAAAAACCCGAAGACGATCCGAGGTCATGGCGCAGAGTTATGACACTCGAACAAAATTCGCGTGGGCGAGTCGGCTCGCGCGGCGTAAAATTTGAAACGCCAGCAAGGGATTTTCCCCGACTCGCTGGCGACGCGTGCACGACTGGCATACGTCATTTTCAAGCTGCATTTTGAAGCTCTCTCCTGCAAAAAAATTGACCGTTCTGCGATCGATATTAGATATCCTTAGCTAAAAAAACGCTAACGTAAACGCAAACCTTTCCGTACTTCGGATCGTTCAAGCTGACTTTTCCCAGCACAAAGTACGTTATAGTTGAGACGAAGTAGTCGTGACAACCATGGCGATATGAATTTTCGTGGAAACGGATGCGGGAAATTCAAAATTTTGAACCAGGGATTAGTTTGCTGTCGTTCCGAAAGAATACCTTGGCGAGGTCTTTTACTCTGGAATAGCAAAAGCACGGCGAAAATAAGTTTTCGCTGTTCCCAGGTCCTTGGAAACCCTTTCCTAAACGCAGCACCGAAGACTGTAAGGGTTCTCCAGCTCCAGCACGTCTGGGAGAGGCCGATGAATTTCTTCCTCAGGAGTGCCGTGGAACTGGTCCTTTGTTTCCCAGATGGGATAGAGGGAGAAAGGCACGAAGCAGAGGACGCAGAAATTGTCAACTGAAAGGCAAAACTCGCCAAAAAAGCTAAATGTCACAAGAGGAAGCAATCTCGACTCTCGATCTCATCTCGATCTGCACGACGTGCTTTTTATCTCCCGCCAGTTACAAAACAATGCGAGTTTTTGCATTTTTTGCAGAATTTCCATAACGAACGTCGGCCCGTTATTTTGAGCTCTGTAACGTTTTTCCGTTATCCGATAACGTCTTTTGTCACGGCTGGGAGTGAGTACCGTAAAAGTTAGCGTTATCGTACTTTTGCTAAGGATGTCTATTGTTGAAATGGCTGAGAATTTAGTACCGCGCTCGCAGGTCTGGCATTGGAGCGCTCAGATCGCGCTGCGGCGTTACTCCTACGACTCTATCAATTGCGAACTGGGTATGGCTGTGTTCGTCTTGGAGAGAGCTTTCCATAGAGCCCGAGATTGTTGGAATACTCCAAAGGATATCGATGAAAATGTGAGTTTGTGAATTTCATGCGTCTCCTGAAATAATTTAGGCTCTAAATAAAAGGGTTTTTAAAGGGGCACTCCGGCTTCATTTTCGACGCCGAGTTTTCGATGCCAAGACGAAGGTTGGTGAAAGAGAAGACCCCTCGAACAAGAACGAGTCTCCAGAAGCGATCGAGTCGAGCAGGAAGACGACTTTTTGAATTTCGCCGAGCGAGCGCTGATGACGTAATGAGGGATTAGCTTGCCAGTGGAAATGCATCTGCGCACATACATTTCACATACTTTTTGGCCAATTTTCAATCGAAGAGGAGGTTGTTTGCTATATTCTCCCAAAGCCGTGAGCGATCCCGTCTTCTATACCCTTCCAGGTACCCTGAAGGTCCTCCGGAGGAGAATTTATCTCCATGAAAGCGTTGTTGATCCGCTAAATTCGTCTCGAGACATATTCACCCAGTGCAGTGCTGACAAAATGTAGAATGTTGAATCTGTGATAATTGTCGACGATGGACAGAAAGGTTGATAGCCGCTGTCGCAGGGAAAGTGAAGCTGCTGGAAGTAACAACGGGGAGCTTGTTAGCATCACTTGATCAAAGCAGCTAGACGGAATCGGGGAGTACTGACTATTTGTCTCGCCCTCAGTTTAGTGAATTTTATGATCAGAAAATTTTTCGATCAGGATCCCTTCTACAAGATGTGTAGTACAGGTGATTTCTGAACTTGACGATTATGGAGACCGACCAGTAGACCTACCAACAACGTGTACCTGCAGGAAATTCACTCAAGGCTATTGCTAATGCTATCCCGTCTTCAGTGGCTGTTGTTTTTTTAGTAAAAATATGTTCACTTCTCTCAACATACTCCTGCATGGCAGCAAGAAGGTGCGCTATGGAATTCAACGCCACAATCTTCGCCCAGCTGTGGATGAAGCATGGTCAAGTCATGGCAGTACATATACTTGAACCAGATGAGAAATTGAAGTTCATTTGTGATGCGAAGTTTGACAGCCCCTGTGACCGAGTCAAGCGTTGTCTTTTGCCGTGGCACAAATTGCTGAAGAATCCGAGATGGTCTTGGAATTATGCACATGGATTATTATTATTATTATTACTTGCATGTACGCGTTGGAGTCAACCATGCAAGCATGATCCACAACTTCGCTTATGCTGAACATGATAAACAGGACTATGACAGGGGAAAGAAAGTGAGCTAGAACGATGATACAATGATATAATTATCATATACAATGTAGCTCATGGGTATTGAAGATATGTCATTTATGAATATGTCTTTAATTATGTCATTGAATATTGCAGCCTGAGTGATAATAATAGTGCTATTTCCTGAGTTTGACTGTTTCAGGACCTGTCGGAATATCACGATGCACAGATCTTCAGGCATAGATCTCGCCATGCGGGTCGGCCATGGGCAATGGCTCGCAGGCTCTGCAGAGCGTCTAAGTTCCCGAGCAATCCGGCATTGGCTTGGCGCAGATCTCCCACCAATGCCTGCGGCAGGGTCGTCCGCGGTCTACCCCTCCAGCATTTCTGTTGCTGATTGGCGAAGTACGCGAACATAGCCATAACAGCTGGAGATTCATCTGCCATCCGCAGGATGTGGCCAAACAGCCTCCAGCGTGATCTCTTGACCATGACACTCAAGGGTTCAGCTTCGCATCTGGCATAGAGAGCATCATTCGGTATTATTTGTGGCCATTTCACACCGATGAGTGACCTTAGCTGACGGCGGTGGAAGGAATCCAGGCGAGACAGAACGGTCACACTGACCCCCCACGTACCCGAGTTGTACGTCAGTACTGGAACAATAAAAGTGCTGTACAGCCGCAGACGCAACTTCTCGCTGATGTGCTGATGCCTCTTCCAGAGGCTCCATAGGGACTGAAATGCTGCAGTCGCCACATGGATACTACCAGAAATAATGGTGGCATGAGCCATTGTGGAATGGGACAGCTCACGGAGAATACTGGAATAGCTCAAGTATCTCTAGGCGATTGTAAATCCTGTTCTTGCTGATAGCTTCGGCCTGCTGCGCCCGTCCATGTACAATGATGGGAACATGCATTTCTGTTTTCTACATATTTGCTATCTACTGTACTGTGGTATTACAGTTGCAGGTCCCCTATATAGAATTATGTTCACCCCCCCCCCCCCCCCCCACACACACATACCCACATAAATATGAACTAACAATTTCCCTGTTGGACTCGCCGGCGGCTAGAGAGCAAAGGATTAATTTATAGCAAAGAAAAGGACCAGGGAACTACAAGTTACGCTATATAAATGTACACGAACAATTTCACTGTATTTGAAATAATTTTGTTTGATACCCTGAGAACTCTGAAACTTTGCAGCACTGTGGATTATATGTGGATACAACATTTATGGAAGGAACACATAGTTCAAATAATTATAGCACTGAATTGTTGAGATTGTGAGCACATTCCAATCAGTACTCTACATATTTATAAGCGGTGGCAATCGTTAGGAATAGGTCGTGAGTTGTCAGAGT